AGAATTTGGGCTGTAAGTGGAAGATGTTATCATCAAAGTTGTATTCTACCATTCATCTTATTTTGTACTGAATAGACATGTTTTCTAATATCACACCTGGTAACTTTACAAAGTTTTTTTTTTCCACTTAGCAGTTACCACTTCACAAATTTTGTCTTAGGTATAAAAGCTGCAAATTTCCAGCACAGCCCAATTGCTTAAAGGATTTTTTAAAATCTGCCTTAAAATTCTATCTAATATGCAGCTTTTGGCTCTAGGCAGCCACAGCTTTCAAGTGATACCAATGAACCTATCCTGCAGGAATTATGAAACCTTATATAATTAATATTTGTGAGATGTATTAAGATCCTGGCACAGAAGAGAGCCTTGAAATTGAAAGCTATTCTATAGCTGGATTCTAGAAGGCTTCTAGTTCCAGCTCCTAGGCAAGAACATTGCTACCATTAAAATATATATTTTTCAAAAAGGAAAGGTCACAAGGGGGCCAGGTAATATGGCCCTAGGGAGACTATAGAAATTCCAGTTGTTCAGAGACACGCAACAATGCACAGCTGATGGATATACCATCAGATTCAAAATGTTTCATTGAGGAGCTGCCTCTGAATCCTAATCCTTGTAGTTGTTATCCCAGATAGAGAGGCTCTGAAATCTCCCTGACCTCCCATGAACAGATTGTTACTAATGAAATAGAGGCAGGGCAACTTAAACTGGGTGAGGCAGGGTTCAAAATAAAGCTAGTACTATATCAAACCCATTGCATAGATGAACCACAGATGGAGGTCCAAAGGTAGGGTTTCTAGATAAGACACAGAATGTCCAGTTAAGTTTGAATTCAAGATAAACATCAAAGAAATATTTCATTTATGTGTGTCCCAAGTACAGTGTGGGACATACTTAGAATTCACTGTTTATTTGAAATTCAAGCTGGACTGGGCATCCTGTATTTTAAGTTGCTAACCTGGCAACACTAGCCAAAGGTAAATGAACACAGCTTATTCTCAATTGATATTATACTACCCTGCATTAATGAAAAACACAGATGGAAAGAATTATATAATTGTCTATTTTCTTTTATTACTTATGAAATACCAACAGTATCATGGTTTATCAATGACACTAAAACAGGTGAAAGAAATGGGCTATATGCTGGTGTAAAGGATTATAATGAACATTTAAAGATCCACACATCAGAAAATCTTGATGTTACGTCAATCCCTGTCATTGAAATAATTTAAGCTGTGAGTAAAAAACGTAATACCATGAACTACATACACAAATCAATCTTATTTCATAGTCACCCTGCTTTCAGATTAACCAGATGATAACCTATTTGCCCTGCATTTCCATGTAAAAAGCAATCATTGCACAAGGCACATGCTCACTATTTGCCTGCTTCTTTTTAGAATCGTTGCTGTCTTCTAAATGAAACATTAATTTTTTCAAGTAATTGTTTCATTCATTATCTTATTAGCAAAGCAAATATCTGATTCCTAAACTAACATGTGTAATTTCAGTAACAGATACTTCCAAAAGGAAGTAAACTGTTGTAAATGCTATGGCAAGATTCATTTCATTTGGGTGTTAAGACAGCCAATCCATGTTGAAAATATTTTTTTTTAAATGTCCCTTTCCATTGTTTCCTGTAGATGCTGTACCCACTGCCCCAGGGAAATACTTGGCCAGTGAAATTTCCTTATAAAAACATAAGCACAATTACACCAGGCCCAAATGCTCAAGTTAAATTAAAGTTCTGGCCAGTATTGATGACTCTGGGTTCTGGAGAAAGGCATTCTGGATCATTCAGACACCATGAGCTGCCTTCTCCTAAATTGTCTGATCTGAATTATCCAAAGTTTGTGGCTCTGGAAACCTGACCTAAGATTTAGCTGAGTTCAGCTTTTGAAACACATCCATTTGCAAAAGACTTTGTGGAAGAAATGAAGTCCTTAGTGAGATTTTACTACTATTTTTTACTGAGCATTTTTTGGACTGTTTTGCTAAATCTGAGTTGGGATGTTATCAACCTTTTCAAATTAGGCATTTAGTAGGCTCAGCTGAATATCTCTTTCTTTTCACATTAGGGTTCTCCAGAACAGCTGGCCCTAGGCTGGAATATTAATTAGATCTTTGATTTACATAGTCCAAGAGCAAACATACAAACTCTGCTTTTTGAGAGGATGACCTAATCGGTACCAAATAGAGTAAACTTATTAATAAGAATAATAGCAACAATGATAGCTAACACTTACTGAGCACTAACTATGTCCCAGGAACTTATAGGTATAGTCAGTCATTTAACACTTTCAAGAACCTTATGAGGTTTTATTCCCCTGTTTTGTAGATAAGAAAACTCAGAGTGGTTAAGTTACTTGCCCTAAATTACACAATTAGTAAGTAGTAAAACTTAGCTTTGTGCCTAGGTAGTTTGGCAGCAGAATCTAGATGTTTACCACTTTGCAACACTTCCTCAGTACATGTATCAGTTAGCCATGACGAGCTTCCATCTACTCAGATCAGGCTTCAAGTGAAGGAGGTGTCACTTCTTTGACTGTGACACATACTTCTGGGAAATAGGAGGTAACTACACTAACGGAGTACAAATAACCCTTCTGTCCCCACTCTCAGCCAACCATAAGC